GCCTCGGCCTCCCAAAGTGCTGGGATTACAGGCGTGAGCCACCGCGCCCAGCTGCTTAGCATCTTCTTGACCAATGAGCCACTCCGGCTGGACACAATGGGCCATTTGGAGAGGTCAGAGGGCAGGCCAGGCATCCCCAGGGGAAGAAAGGTGGGGTTCTCTTGGGAGCAGTTCAAAGTCAGCTCAAACCAGAGCAGGCCAAGGATGCACACATCCAGTTTCGTTTCAATTAAGGTTATGTTAAAGAACCTTTAGAAGTTCTAGTCCTGCCAGCTTTGAAAATCTTCTCTCTGTAAGAACCATCCCTCCTGTGTTGTTTATTTCCTTGAGAAAAGATATTAGATATTAAAGGGACATTTCAACAGATTTAAGTGTTCTCAGAAAAATGAGATGTTATTCAATTAAAAAGCTACCTTACATTCATGGATGAGCAATAAATATTTGTTGATTTGATTTTCAGTCCTACTTTTCAAGAAGTAAGTGGAATTGAGGAGGATGTTAGGGAATCATTTTTGAAAGATTAAAATTAGCAACCACAGTCTCATCTTCTACAATTATATTGCAGAAAAATTGTTTATTTTCCTGGCATACAAAGGAGCTGGCTTTCCTCAGCTTTATTTTCCTTTAGCGTCTGATTTACTTGGTGAAAAATGGAGAGGACAAAGGAATAACACCAAATACAAAGAATATACTTGGCTTCAAAAAGAAAACCAGAATAAACAGAGAAACTGCTAATGTCTCTACTCTTGGTAAACAGCTTATGAGAAGGCTTTGGAGGCAGAACAGCTCCCTGCCCTCACTCCAGCATGTAGTTTCAATTCAGTGAAACCTCAGTAAATTGCTTCAGGAAAATAGATGCAAGTGGATTTGCATTTGGGTGTTTCAATAACTTGAGTAATTTCCTCAATACTGAGCATGACTTTTGCACCCATTATTAGAGGGGGCTGAAAGAGAGTGGCCAAGTGGCAGAGTTCCCGGCAGGCCTTACTGTGGTAACAGCCTTCAATCACTGCCATCGTGATGTGACAAATCATGGCTTTTTTTGGTGCAGCTGATAGCTCAGGGCCGTGATGTACCAAGTACAAACACTTGAATGTCAACAACATAAGAATATTTGCCTGTACCAGTTCCTTTTAACATCTGTGAAGGCTCTTTACAAAATCCAATAAATGTAATCAAAGACCAAACAATCAAACACCATAAATAATTCTGCTGAGAAACTGGAGAGGCCTTGGCCACTGCACACTCTCCCACTGCCTTCCCCGAGAGCTCACTCGCAGCTCCCTCTGTCATTCTCTCTCTCTCTCTCTCTCTCTCTTTTTGTTCTTCCTTCCTGCCTTTGTCTCTATTTCTAACACATTGTTGCTGCGATGCAACATTAATCACTGAATATTTTCTGTAGCTTTCAAAAACCCAAAGCAACATTTGGTTGCTCATGGGTTCCTTAACCTACTTTAGTCCTAAATGAAAAAGACTATGGAGGCCAAGACACGGACACAGGGTTTTAATTCTGCCTCGTCTCAGAAAGAGGACAGTCTTGCAGGAAATCATCTTACTCACCTTCCTTCAGGCTGTAGTTCTAAAGAATTTTCCATAAAAGCTGTCCTTGAATAAACAACTCCTGCCTTGCCCATTTGGCTTGCTGTTATTCTGGAAGGCTTGTATCTGTCTCTTCTAAATGGGCCTTTTCGTCTCTGACAATTCAGTGGGGTATCCAACTTTCAGCAGCAAATTGGTCTACCCATTCCTGCATATTTTCAGATTTTCATCTTCCATAACTACTTTCGTAATGGTTCAAGTGAGAAACGTTACCCGGAAAACCCAAAAGGGAAAAATTGGATGATGACGTTTTGATGAACAATTTTATTTAGGAATGTGGGCTCTACTAGAATGATTCCTTTTTTTTTTTTTTTTTGAGATGGAGTCTTGCTTTGTCACCCAGGCTGGAGTGCAGTGGTATGATCTTGGCTCACTGCAACCTCCACTTCCTGGGTTCAAGTGATTCTCCTGCCTCAGCCTCCTGAGTAGCTGGGACTACAGGCACCTGCCACCATGCCCAGCTAATGTTTGTGTTTTTAGTAGAGACGGCATTTCACCATGTTGGCCAGGATGATCTCAATCTCTTGACCTCGTGATCTACCTGCCTCAGCCTCCCAAAGTGCTGGGATTACAGGCGTGAGCCGCTGCGCCTGGCCTAGAATGATTCTTTAAATGATTTTTTTTAAAGGATTAGACTTAGGTACATTTTCAATATACTTTTATAGTTTTAGGTACATTTTCAATATAGTTTTGCCCTTCCTAATGAGAATCCTGAAAATATTTGAGCATAAACAAAAAACATTGCCTCATACTGGGTGATTTTCATCAGGCAAAGGGGCAGGTTATACCATTGTAGGCTATTAATTAAATTACCAGGAAAATTATTTGGCTGCCTGAACCATGCACAGCGATCGAACAGAAGGCAGGAACCCATCGTGTGAAGATGCTGTTTCCATTTTGTGTCTGGGGCTCCCTCAAACATGCCCTTTAAAAGCCTGGTGCAAACCCATACGACATGACCATTTTCTTTCTCTCTTTCTTTCTTTTCTCTCTTTCTCTCACTTCCTTTCTGTCTTTCTTCCTTTCTTTTTGAGATGGAATCTCACTCTGTTATCCAGGCTGGAGTTCAGTGGTGCAATCTTGGCTCACTGCAACCTCCGCCTCCCGGGTTCAAGCAATTCTCTTGCCTCAGCCTCCTGAGTAGCTGGGACTACAGGCACCCGCCACCATGTCCAGCTAATTTTTTGTAGTTTTAGTAGAGATGGGGTTTCAGCGTGTTAGCCAGGATGGTCTTGATCTCCTGACCTTGTGATCGACCCACCTCGGCCTCCTAAAGTGCTGGGATTACAGGCGTGAGCACCTGGCGGACCATTTGCTTTCTCATTGGCTTCCACTGTGGTGTTAAATCCCCCATAAGACATGGCTGTGTAGCATCTTACCCGCTTGGTGAGCTGAGTGTCCATCATGAAGTTATGAACATGCTTCTCTGCTTTGGTGAGTTCCAGCTTTCGGGCCACCACGGCCACCACAAGGGCAGTGCAGCCTGCACCCTGTGGGGGGACATCAAGAGGACCAGAGGGGAAAGAACACATCATTAAGAGGCAAGACGAGAGACTCAACACGCCTGGCGCCCACGGGGGTAGTTTCCTGGGAGTGGAGTGGGAACTCGAGCTCTCTGGCTGGTCATGACCAAGCCACAAAATCTGTCGAAATCTGTCAGGACTCTGATGTCCTGACCCACAGAGGGGTCTGCAGTGCCCCTTGGGTTGTGCTCTGCAGCTGGCTTCTGGGAGGCTGAACTAGCCAGTTTCAATGGAGAAGGAAGCTGGGTGGTGCTGAGACTTTGGGGGGTTTAACCAACAGATAAGCACCTGGCCACCTGCCACGCTGTGTAGCGGAAGACAGAGGGGCCAGCACACACGGGCCCTCTCTCCCTCAGGCAGGTCTCCATCCCACTGCCAGCTCTAGACCAGCGGGCCCGGGAGGAAGGCAGGCAGGACATCAGCTGGGTGCAGATGGAACACCTGTCAGTGGCTGAGAGTGTTCCTGAAAACAATCTAATGAAGAGCCAATACCTTTCCCCAGGGCTTGTTTCACAGAGGGTACCCAGGTTGGCACGAACACATGCACTCAGTGACTGTGCTTGCTCTGCGGTTGGGCTTTTTCACCTGAGGGTTTACGCTATGACTCAGCACAAGGAATCGGTTCCTTCCTGCCTTCACCAGGAGGCTCATGAATTCACCACCATGCAGAGATTTTAAACACAACACCACTTCTGCTAGATCAAAACCAGGATTTTAAGTGAGCCCGCAGCAGACCCTTGGGATTTTCCGGAACAGCGATCCTAGTCTGCTCGGTAGGTCCATGCCAGGGGAGCCCGGGAAAGGGTGGGCAAGGAAGCAGGCTCTGCTGAGCCCCAAGAATGGTGAGACTCACTTTTTCTGTCCTAATCCTCTGGGTGCATGCTTGACTGTCTGGGAAATAAGCAGGGAATTCCCTGCACATTCCAACATTCTCCCGACACATTTTAAAATCATCTTCGCTGGGCTTCTTGGTTGGCTTGTGAGCACAGGGGGACGTCGAAGACTCACTACTCCCCTGGCTCTTTGGCAGGCAGCGGGAATCAGCCCCCTCCTTCTGCGAGCGGACTCTCATCAGAGACCATCGCCCTCTACCTGCACGCTGTGCCCTGCGCTGCCCTGACCGCCACTCATGGAAAGAGATGATGAACTTACTAAAGCCAACAACTGAATCCTAGATGTCAAACAGTAATTCTAGTTGCTACAGAACCCAGTCTAGCAGATGAGGTCCCAGACTGGAAGGAATCTGTCAGTAACATTTTTGGCTCATCAGGTCTTACAAAATGTGTGAGAAGCAGAAAAGAATGTTTTTCAAAGGTACTATAATCTATAACCGACTTGGAAGGAATGCATATGGGTGGATCCATTCCCTACTCTCTCTTTTAGAATCTCTTTCTCTCTTTATCCCACAGGCTGACAAAGGCTAGCCTGTGTGAAGTTTCGATGTGGTTGAAGTTCACAATGCTTTCTCCTCGTTTCCCACAAGGGTCCCCATTAAAACAATCTAGTGTTTCTCAGTACATTGGTTGGCCTTTTCACAAAGTGAAAAGAACCAAGTCTGTGTGAACTTTCCTATTCTGACCTCATTTTCCTCTTTTGTTCAAGGATGGCTGTGTTTTTTCAGCTTCTGTGACTTACAGGAGACTGTGCCCAGTTTTCAAAGGATCTGGGCAGTTGCACAGCCTGGTCTGTAGCTGTAATCAATCTAGCCAGGCCTCCAAAAGCAAAAAATAGCTTAAAAGAAGCCATCCTAGAGGGAAGATGTGTGCTCCCTTCCCCTCCACCGGACAGAGTGTCATCCCTCTCCTTTATATGGAGTTCCAAAAGTACTTTGGGCTGAAAGCCTAAAAAGAGGGCTATATCATAGCATTAAAAATGGAACATCAGATGGAGAGGGTTCTCCCCAGGCTCCATTCTCCCTCCTCTTGCTGGGCCCAAGCAAAACTGTACTTAAATCATCCCTGAAAGCTGAGGTCCAATGGGCCTGAAGAGGGAGCTTCCCTGCACCATGCTACTTTGAGAATGTAATCACAACAATCAATCATCCACCATTCCAAATTTCCAGGGTCTAGATGGGGTGTTTCACAGCTCCTGCCATGGCCCGCACTTTAACTGGCTGAATGCAGGGGGGCTTTTAATTAGAAACTACAGTGTTTTATCTAAGGAACCATCTGTCTCACATGAGGAAGATAAATTTCTCTCTGGAGGCAGGACAGTGGACTAGATGGCACTTCCCAGTTTCTTTCAACGTAAAGATGTCATGACTCCCTTGTGAGTACCTCTGTAGAGGATGCTGCATTCTTAACCCTTAATTCCAACTTAAATGGATGCTCTCAGCTTCATTTTTCCATTGACTGGATGTAATTGGGGCAGTCACCAGTAATGACACCTAACCTGGATTAAGAGGCAACCTCATAAAGATGGGGCCAGACATCAGCAGCCTTCAGAAAGTCGTGGAGGAATGCTGAAGCCTAGACTGCTGAGCCTCTGCAGACTGTGCGGCGTGTGCGGAGGGAAAATGAAGAAGGGAGAGAAGACAATGGGAACATGAGAGAAGAGGAGGGGAGGGGAGGGGAAGGAAGGAGAGAGGAGAGAGAAGAGAAGAGAAGGGGAGGGGAGGGAAGGGGAGGGGAGGGGAGGGAAGGGAAAGGAAGGGAAAGGAAGGGAAGGAAAGGGAAGGGAAGGAGAGGGGAGAAGAGAAGGAAGGTGGCTGCAGGGAGAGGTCAAGCTGGGCAGAGAATGAGATGGGGAACAAGTTGTGTTGCATCCTAAACAGCAAGGGTCAGGGGGGTAAAGAGAGAAGGAGGAGGCTGAGGAATAAGAAAAAATGATGGGCTGATGGGATTGAGAGAGGAAAGAAGAACAAGGAGCCTAAGGCTTGAGCCAGAAGTCAATGGTCCATTTTGGCCCTTTAGAGGACATGAAGGAAGTGCCAAGGGATCCCACCCTGCTGTGTCCATCTTCAATTGGTATAAGACTCACCTGTCCCCTGGGTCCCCTTTGGGATGCTGGGCCCTTTCACTTAGGTGAGTTAATAGTCTGACAGGCCACAGGGGCAGCCTGGCAGTGCTGTGTCACGTAGCAGTGATGCAGGTTAGTTTTAAGAGACAAATCGTTGAGGGCCTGGCTAACCGTGGAATCTTGGAAATGGCTGGTGGGCAGAGGGAGTGTGTGAGGAGGGAGGAAGCAGGATGGGAAAGGGTAAACAGCTGCTGCTATGACTTCCCTGGGGTCAGACTGGGGGGAAGAGCCATGACTCAGTCTTTTGCTTTCAGATATGCCAAGTCCTGAACCACAGGGGACAAAACTAGAGTCCCTGGATCTGCTCTGTCCGACTTCCAGTTCTGTGGGAAGAGGGAGGAGATGGGGTCTACTTCTGATGAGCTGGAACTTCCCAAGGCATGTGGGCGAGCAGGGAGCACCGAGTGCACGGAGGGAGGGTGACTGGGACGGGGTGAACACGCCTAACTCTAGAGATTCGGACCCAAATCGGGACCGAGACTCCTCCACACCGGTCCTCCCACCTCTTGTTTTCAAGAAACATTTTCCAGCTGGAAAACCTTAGAAGCTGGAAAAACAAGTATCCCAAGGGGAAAAGTATGAGGTGTTCTTAACTAAAGAAGCATAAAATAAAATAAAACACAAATGAAAGTGACAAATGGAGGAGGGAAGCCTGGAGGATTTACAGTTGGATTCTGTTTCTGCAACAGATTCCATGCAACAACTAAAATAACATCAATTGGTTTGAAACCAAGGTGTTTCGGGAGAAGCTCATCTTCTAAAACTGACATTAAGCAGATGTCTTGCTGAGCCCTCTTTTTGCCTCCTCCCAAAATGACTCAATTTGTGCTACCTTTTACTTCATCATCACTTTCCCTTGGCAGTTCAGACGCATCTCTCATGAGGCCACTGGGGAAAAGCTCAGCGTCCCTGCAGACATTGGAAGCTTTTGCCTGTTTGTCCATAACTCATGAAGGGTCTACAGAGTGAGTCCAGCTTTAGAAAGAGGCTAGATTGAAACAAAGTTATGCCAAGCAGCCTTGAGGGGCTCTGGGGTCTTCCAGATGCCTGCAGAACCAAAAGGTCAGCATTGCACATATTTTACGTTGCATTGTCATTTCTAATTCTGGATACTAAATATTGACAGCTTTCTGTCTACTGTGTTGTCACTGTGATCATGAAAAATCCTTATGGAAAGATGCTGGACTTTAATGTAGCTGCTTTTGTGGGTGAAATCTCTCAAACACACCAGGTCTGTGCCAGCCACGGCAAGTTGTTCAGACAATTATATACCCTGCTTAATGGCTGATAATTACATCGTTACTGGGATTGCCAAGAGAAAACAATGATTAAGACTATTTACAGGCCACACACACACACACACACACACAAATCCTTCCTTTCCCTTCCCAAGCAGGCCTTGCCTTGGCCTTCATGGTGTCCATGGTAACCAAACAGGAAGCCCTACCTTTAGTAAAGGCACTTGCAATAATAATTGGGAGCTATACATAGTGTTGGGAGGTTGGGAGGAGGAGGGGAAAGGATCCTCAGCAAAGTGAAACCCTGGCTAGGAGTGACTCAGCTAGAAAAATCACATTTGCTAGAAAAATGCCACCAGGGTTCCTCACTGTGGCTGACCCCAGAGTGAGGCGACTGACTTTAATTTGGGTGAAAAACACTGACAATGAATAGAGGAAACCTCCCTGTTCCCGTATATAGAAAGGTATATATTTATGCACAGGGTTTTGTACAAAAAGAGATGAAAGGCCTGGGCTGTATTTTTCATATGGAAGGTGGGGATTGGATTGGGTCCTCCTCATCCATTTGTTCTTTCCACTTTGATCACACCTCAATCCACAGGGAACGGAACACTCCCTCTGGGGGAGCGCTGCAGAGCCAGACAGCAAAAGGGGGTGCTGAAAGACAAGCAGCCCCCGGACCCCAAGGAGAGGCAGGGGTCGGGCAAGGGTCTCGCCTGTTCCGCTCAGCTGTGCCAGAGTAGAGCCAGGAGATGCGAAGTCCAGGAACCAGGAAGCCGGGTCCTTAGGGTGCTGCTTCTTGGATGGGGCACAGCTATGTGCTGAGAAGGAGAAAGTCTGGTATTTTAAAATAACAGAGGCTCCCCGCAGGGCCCATCCATCTATTGGCAACCCTGTTCTGTACCAGCCCTGGCTGACAGCTGGTTCTGAGGCACAAAGCCCACACCCCAGGAGTGGCTCTAAGAAGGAAAGCTTTGGCCTTTGGTGGCATTTCATTCTTTTCTGGTAAGAAGCATCTTTCCCTGGTTTCCTCATGACAGTTGGTGCTATGCCAAGACAAGCTCCTACTAACCGATGGAAGATATTTGTTCTAAAGCCTTGCACTTACCCATGATTTATCACAACCCCAGCGCTAAGCTTTTTGTCATGAGCTGCTGTCGTAGGACCTGCTTGCTAATAGGGACCTGCCCTGGACTGGAGTCAGAAAGGAGGAGAGAGCCTGGCCCCCTCTTGCTCAGCAGGCCGACTGCCCCAAGCCTTGGTCTGACTGTCTGGTCCACCAATATCAGCCCCAGGAAACCAACGAGGCAGACTGGGGTGGGGAGTGGGGGCAGCCCCCAGACCTGCGGCCCTCCCTTTCCACTGCAGAAAGCGGTCACTGCCCTTCCAGAAAGAGGGTCTTCATCTCTCTGGGAGCAATGGGGGTGATGAATGGAATCTGAGGGATCACTGCAAGGAAGGATTTTCACAAAGGTGTGAGGGGGGCTGTGGAGTGGGGGTTGTCCTTGGGAGGGCTGCAGTCTCCAGCCATGGAGACCCAAAGCCACGCCACCAATGGCCTGTCCACTTCTCACCCCGCCACCTCCCCCAGCACTACCCAGGCTTAGATGTGCTTTCCTCTTTCAGCCTCAATTTCCGCCTCTGAAAAAAGTGTCCAACCCTGCTCTGACACTGTTCTAGGATTCCAGGATGAAGGCCAAAGAGCAGTACTGCCTGTCCTGGACCCAAAGTGCAACAAGACCAAGGGAACACTTCACTAATTTGCAACTGAAGGACACTGAGGACACCACCAACACTGACCGGTGTGTGACCGCTTCTCGTTTTCAAAGCACTTGAACATAAATCATTGCATTTGGTCCTTGCACAAGCCAGTGGGGAGGGCAGGGCAAGCCCTCCATCTCTACTTTCCCCTGGAAGATGCTCAGGCCCAATAGGCAGAGTGCCTGGCCCAGGGTCCACAGTGAGCAGAAACTCAGACCCCACGTCCCTCTCATAAGGCACACTGTGGTGGCCATGTGACAGGTGAGAGCGTGTGCCTCTGCGAGAGTGTCAAGTGTGGGTCGTAGGGCACTGGGCAAGAGAGATACACCTTGAAAGGGCACGGCACACCTGCTGGGCACCTGGGGATGGGATCACAGCCTTGCCGAATGCCAGTCCTGCAAAGCACTTGGCACTTAAAGCCCAGCCCCACCATAGGCAGAAGTGGAAGCAGAAGCCTGGGAAAGGCAAGAGCCAGCCCAGAGCCACATGGCCAGCCCCGTCCAGGACACAGGTCCCAAAAGCCAACTCAGTGCTCTTTCCCCAGTCCCTGCTTCTGTGAGTTCCAGCTAAACATGATCAGAAATGGTGCCAAGGTCTGTGGGACCAAGGGAACAGGAAGGAGGACAATAAACTGCAAGCCCCAATGCTCACTGGAGGTGAGCAAACTGGGGGGCTGCACAGCAGTGCAGTGGGCATCAGAGCATCGGGCCAGGACCAGCTTCACCCAGCCGATTTTGAGGGAGCTGTGAATAGACCATTAACTGCCAGGAGTCCAGGTCTCATTCTTACCTTAGAAAAGTCAACTGAAAAGTGAGAAACCATTGCAGATTTCCCACCTGCCTTTTTATGTATAGGGGACACACACGCAGGTTGGTTAACTAACAGCCGCCCCCCACGCTGTGGCTAGGAAGGCCCCTATGTGCTTGCAAGAAAGAGTTCTGCTCTTTGCCACATTTTGAGGGTAGGGAATGGGCAGAGGCGGGTACTCACCATGATGCCAGTAAGGAGACAGACACCTTTCCCACAGTATGTGTGGGGCACCATGTCCCCATAACCAATGGAAAGGAATGTGATGGAGATGAGCCACATGGCACCCAGAAAGTTACTAGTTACGTCCTGCTGGTCATGGTACCTGCCGAGGGGAAGACAGGAGTTAGTTGATGAACAGCCATTCCCGGGAGTAAGGGCTGTGGGCAAACCTAGAGGGGGGAAGGAAATGAGATATTTGGCTGAGGAAGAGGCAGCAGTGACAGTGGCTCACACAGATCTCTTTAGGCTACTGAAGGGGCTGCGACTGTGCCCACCCAGGTCCCACCTGCAGCCCCCCATCCCGTTGGCCTCCTGCCATGAGCTTGGTCCCAGAGATCAAATGTTTTGTCATGATTTGCACCTCATTGTAGACACCCTTTTAGTGTTGGTAAGATAGCTTTGGATGAAATCATGCAGTAATAAAATTCAAATTTTCCCTTCCAAGTCGACAGTCTAAATGTATGTGGATGTGATTAATCTGAAATCACAAGCTCCTGAACAGGGAAAATGTCAAAAAAAATTATCAAACATACTCAGCGATTTCCTCTAAGAAAGTTGAAGCATTTCAAAGACTGGTATCTCCCGGGGGGTCTAGAGGGAAGCTGTGGTGGCTGGGGCTCTCGTGGAGCTATCTCTAGAGGGGGCTCTGGGGTGTCCACAGAGACCTCCCTTTCTGAGTCAGACAGGGACTTGTACTTGCCCCGCCCTGAGACGAACCAGCTGGAAACATCAGCACCATTTCCTCTCCGGATGCCTATTCCACCTCATCCCCTTCCTCCCTCCCTTCAACCCCAACACCAAGGCCTGCTGCATGCCAGGCTCTGTGCCAAGTACTGAAATACAGAAATGAACACCACACAGCCCCTGCCCTCAGAGACTCAGCCCAGGAGAGGGGTTTGTCAAGGAGGCAGGCATCTGCAGAGGGGTGCAATCAGGGGGTGGACAAGGTGCCCTGGGGATAGAGGCAGAGGGCAATGACCTTGACCCAAACACATGAGGGTCCACAGAGGTGCCACAGAAGAGCAAGGCTTGCATTTTCCAGGCAGGCCCAGAGGAATGGGTGCTCTGGGCAGAAGACCCTAATGAAAGCCCAGGGCTTATACAAAGTGCAGCAAGGGAGCTGGTTGCAGGCTGGGTGGCAGGGCTGGTGAAGGTGGATCCTCTTCCAAACCGTTCTCTAATGGGATCAGCCTGAACAACACACAGTAGACTCTTCATTTTATAATGTAGGGCTTCACTTCTTGATAAAATCTCCTCTTAGCCACTTGGAGGCCACTGGATGGGGAAGCTAAAAACAAAGGGCCAGGGAGACCAAACCAACTAGGTTGGATAGAGTAGAAAGTGATTTAGGAACCTGAATCTATGGAAGTCAGTTACCATCAGGGCTTCCATCAGTTAATGAACACAATGTGCCGGGACAGGCCTAGCACAAGGAGGTCCCTGGAAGGATTCGCTGCCATCATCAGGGATCTCCACGCCCCCACAGGGTCTGTGCCCAGCGAGTGATAGGCAAACGCTGCTTTTCCTTCCCTTGCCACCTTAGGTGAGGCGTGCAGGGCAGGCTGCATGTATAGGTGCAGCGAGAGATGGGCCTGGAAGGAGGCAGGAGTTCAGCCAGTCAGAAAGGAGACAGGGCCATCAAGTCAGGGAGCAGCAAGAGCACAGTATGATGGATACTGTGCATGTATTGAGCACCTGCTGTGTGGCTGGCACTTTGTACGTGAACATTCTAATCTCACAACAGCCTTTAAAGTATTTCCCAGGTAAGCAGCAGGAGGCACAGAGACACTGGGTGACTTGCCCAAGGACACACAGGAAGCAAAGCCCATGCTCCTTTCACTGTTTCACTCAACATCAGAGGCAAAAGCGACTGGCATGTGTCTTGGGGATAACGAGGAAGCTTCGGTGAGAGGAGATCGCCTGGGCTCTAGTAGCAGGCGACCAGGGGGCTTCAGAGACCAGGGGTCAGATTTACGAAGGCCTGGAATTCTGGGATAAGAAGCTTGGATTTTGCCTTAGAGGCCTTAGAAGAGATTCTGGGTTCTTGAGCACAGGAATGACAAGATGACACAGCTTGCTGGGAAGAGTGGTCTGCGGGTGGCGAGCAGGGTATTTGAAGAGACAGGACACAGAGGTGGGGTGGCCAGGCAAGAAACAGGTGTGCAAAGCTGGGACAGAGACGCAGGCCACAGCCTTTCTCACCCACCGGAGCCCAGCCCCAGCAGAGCCCTGTGAGCACATCAGTGGTGGGCTCTCCAGCCCACTTGAGCCCTTGGCCAGCAACTGGGGACCCGGCGGGTGGCATGGCATTAGCCTTTTTGTGGCTGTCTGCACAAGGACATGGGTGTCTGGTACTTCTGGGGACATCTGAAGAAAAGATACCCTCTCCCCAAAGCTCTGCTGACGAGATGGCCTTGGCTGCCCTCTCCATCTGCTATACTTGCTCCCCAGGGATGCTCTGTTACCACCCTGAGGGCCCCTGGCTGGCTGCATGGGCCTCATTTCCCCCAGCGGGGCCTGCCTTTGCTCCCCTGGCTTTTTTTGAGTACACAGGCTGGTGGCTCCCAACTCGGATTCCCGGGATTGTGTCTACCCCTGACTGTGGCCCAGCGTGGCAGCCCCTCCCAGCTCTGCTGTGGCCTTCGACAGGCACCTGCCTCCCTGCCTGCTCGCTCTGCCCGCTAGGCCTTCAGGTCAATGCAACCCCTCCCCTCCCAGCGGGCTGCCCTCTGGCTGGAGGGATGGCGGCAGACACTGACCCTCAGACCCTGTGCTGAGACAGTGGTGAAAACATCAGACTTTAGCTTTTCTAAAGCAAGACTTCAGTGACTGTGGGAGGGGACACAGAAGGGAGAAGACGTAAAGGCAGCTCCATGCCACAAGCTGGCAACACATAAATGTAGTAGAGTCACAGCCAGGGTCCTCAGTTCTTCCAAAAAACATTTTCTGGAAGACAAGTCTTGGGTAAGGTCTGAGGAAGCGTGGTTGAGGCAGTTTAGCAGTGAGGAGTTGAGCTGAGCCAGTGATCTTGGGCTGGGCTGGGCTTGCCTGGCTTGGAGCTCCAGCTCCAACGTTTAGTAGCTCCATGGCTGTGGGCAAGTGACGTACCCTCTCTGTCACTCAATTTCCTTATCCGCTGATGGGAGGATTAAGTAAAATAACCCATAAGCAACACCAGCACAGTGGCTGGCCCAAAGTAAGTGCTCACTAAATGTCGGCCATTATCATTGTTGAGAGGGCACAGGTGTTATCAGTCTGAGAAACAATAGACAGAAAAATACAGGGGCATGGATTTACACGTGCAGTGGAGTGGTGAGGCATTCATGAAGATGTCTTGAAGTTTAGGCTGGAGAACTATTTGATACAGATACAAAATAAATCAACTGTAAGTTCTTGGACAAAGAAAGGACATGAGACACTTGGTATCTGAAAATTCTTCTACATGCAAGACTGACTACAGAGGTCAGGCCCCAGATAAGGCTGCTAGAAGCTTTGCAGGTGTCCAGGGAGAAGCAATGGAGAGCCTTGAATACCTAAGTATGAAGTTAGGGTTCAATCTGTAGCCCATGCTCTGTCATATCATGGGTTTTGTTGTGCACACGGGTCTCCACAGTCCTCCTTTCCCTGTAAACTCTGAGGATTAAACTCACGCTCCCTGGCTGTTTGACTGCCCCTCGGATCATGGAGCATCCTATTCATATGTGGGAGGATGCCAAGGTAAAGAGATTAGAGACCAAAGTGGAATTACATATAAATTATATTCTTGTGGGTTTCTTTTTTCATTCACCGTAATAAATTCCTGTGGGTGCTAACTGTGTGTGCTGAGCAGAGGAGATGAAGGTCTTGAGAGTGTCCTTCGTTGTTTGTCAGCCTTCAGTGATCGCTCCTCTGGTGGGGGCTACAGAAGATGCTGAGATGAATTGGACATGCACCCTGCTCTCCAGTGGCTTGGAGCATCGTCATGGAGATAAGACATGCATGTAACTCACCAAGCAGGAAGTGATGAGCCAGAAGGCTGGGCTGGTGATTCAGGACTGTGGGAGTAGAGAGGAGGGAGAAAAGGTTTCTAAACCTATTCACAATTTTAGAGCGGTTTACACATGTCACAAATTCACATACTAATCTCGTGCTATTTTTTGCAATCGAAAATTGGGGGGGAGGGATAGCTCCATGTTTTTCTTTAAAGGCTGAGGAGGAAAAGATACAATTTTTCTTTGAGCTCAAGGGTAGTTATTACAGTTACTGATTTATCTTTCAGGGTGTGGACTATGGATTTTTTTTTTTCACTTCTTAACATGAAATAAATGAGAGATACAAATGACTATATGACTTGGCAAAGATGGTAGAGACGTATGTCTACTTTTGCTCCCTCAAATCCCTTACAGCTCAAAATTGTTAGTCCCCTACTTTTAAAAATAAACAGGCAACCAGGAATCCCCAGACAGCCAGGAGTCTCTAACATTAAAGACACAGATCAAACCAGTCAATTAAACAAACAAAAAGAAGGAACTCTGGATCAAATACAGACCATTCACAGAGAGAACTCTTGAAAGAAAAACCCTATAATTAACGTAAGAGAGATAAAGTAAGATACTAGACCCACGAGACAAGAATGGAATGTTGTATGAAAAAAGTCTTCCTAGAGGGGCTAGAAGATAAATCGAGGAAGTCTCCCAAAAAGCAGAAAAAGACAAAGAATGAAAATGAAAGAAAATACGAAGTTGGGCATTGTGGTGCGTGCCTGTATCCCCCAGCTGCTTGGAGGCTGAGGCCGGAGAATTGCTTGTGCCCAGGAGGTTGAGGCTGCAGTGAGCTAAGATTGCGCCCCTGCACTCCAGCCTGGGGACACAGCGAGACCCCCCACCATCTGTTAAAAGGAGAGAAAGGGAAAGAGAATATGAGAAAATCAGTGAATCAGTCTCCCAATTCAAATAGTAGGAGTTACAGAAAGAAACAACTGGGGGGAAAAGAAGGAGAGAAGTAATTATTTTAAAAATCATTCAAAAATAAAAATCCCCAGAACTTAAGGGCATGAGTTTCTAGAGCAAAGGCTCACTGTCCCCAGCACAGTGGATGAAAATAGATGCACACCAAGGCACATTA